ATTCGTAATCAAGGATAAATGTAGATGTCTATGGGCCACAGCAACCACTTACCATCAGGTGGACTGTGTGCTCGTTTGTCACCCTTGTCCTATAAAAAAACATGGACATGGGCCTCACACATTGCCTTAATAGATATAGATAGATAGATAACTCTATATATTGTACACCTAAACAATACACAAACGAAGGAAGAAAACTAATTAATTAATAAATAGATAGTCGCCGGTCGGAGTGTTTTACGTCTTATCCCGTGTGGTGGTGGGTTAAAAGATTTATTAATTATTACATTTAACAAAGCCTCTATAAAATCTACTTCCATAGTTGCCGCACCTGTCAGGTGGTTTGGCAACCATAATATCTTTATTAAATTAAGTTTTTACAGTGGTAGAGCCACACGGCAGCTTTTTCTGTCGCACGGATGGGCCGGTTCGAACCGGGGTAGTACCACGACCTCACAGAAAACCAGCGTGAAGTAGAGGTTTACCTCTGCGTTTCGCTTGGTGAGTGCAGGTGGCCGGAGGCCTTTTTTACTGGAAATGAGGCATTCCATCTTAGTCCTCACGGGTGACAACGCATCTACATTTTGATTTGTAACAGAGGATAGATGTAGATGTCTATGGGCCGCAGCAGCCACTTACCATCAGGTGGACTGTGTGCTCGTTTGTCACCCTTATCCTATAAAAAAAAAAAAAAAATCTGTTAGAGGCTTCTGCTCATCTCCTGTTTCATGTCCCCTGTCTTCTCTTACAATATCTACAGGATGACATGAGGCAGCAGATTCACTTACGATAACACTACTCGGGTAAAGAAGTAGAGAATAAAAGAACGCATCGCCCCACTTCACGCCGTAGGTGTTTTAAATGCGACTAAGGGCCATGAACCATCTTGCTTACGTCAGGCGTAAAATACCCAGAAACATCTCTACATAGCATAACACAAAGTCGCTTACCAACGTCTGTACGCTTAAATCTTTTAAATTGCGCAACGGATTTAATTGAAATTTTCATTAATAGACAGAATAATTCAAGAGCAATGGTTTTATGTGTAATACATACATATTATATATTACATAATTCTTCTATCAGTGTGTATGTGACTGAACTCGTTTAGGAGTTCTGGACCGATTTTGATGAAACTTTGTGTGTTTGATTAAGTTGATTAGAGAATGGTTTAGATTTACACTTGGACCCGACAGGCGGCGTTGTTGTCGAAATACAGAAATCAGGCGTGCGAAGTCGGAGCGGATCGTTAGCATATTTATAACTTTTAAATAATAAGAGAAAACAGAAGCTGTTAATATATTAATAAACGTCGTACGTAAACGTTTATTTCGCACATATTGTGAAAAATTGTCCAATGTTTTGATTTTGATAGAAAACAAGTGCAAATTCAAGGTTATGAAACTAATAAACCAGCTTACATAATTTCTCGCGAGCAAGGCCACGTGACTCGAGGTGAACTAACTTTAAGTGAGTCAGCCATTAATATTTCGCGCGGCTGTCTTTGGTGATACTGACCTTTATTGTATCGATATTTATATTAAATTAAATTATCAAAAACTTATAAGACACTGACCCATATAAAGACACCGACGTCAAAGTTGGTTTGTTATCATCGTTTTTTTTTAGCATGCGTCCATCAAATGCTGTCTGTACACAGGACAAGGACGACAGGAAACTCGATCTTCGATTTCTCATATCATGCACCTGCTTTGTGGAGAATTCTTTGCCTGCCTTGTGGATAAAATTCATTAATCCCTCCAAAATATCTATAATAAAAAAATTAATCGCTGAATGTGTTGCTAAGTGCAAATCATGAGAGCAGCTGAACCGATTTTGCTAATTCTTTTTTTATAATATTCCTTGAAGTACGAAAATGGTTCTTACGGAGATTAAAATTTAAAAAATTGCCTGAAAAAGTCTAAAAACAAGACTTTTCTATATTCCCATACAAAAGATTCCTAATAATACTTAAAAGTCAATTTGAACTTTAATACCATACCATAAAGTTTAAGTGTTAGTGGAAGGGTTCCGGGAAGGCAAAACAATTGAGTGACGTTAGTATCGTTAGTATAATGTCAATATTTGTCAATATTTATAAGATGGTAACATTACTCAAAAACAAAATTAGGGTTTCGCGCAAAAAAATTGATATCCATGAAATCGTAGTAAAATCCACTCGGGCGAAGTCGCGGGGCACAGCTAGTTTTTTATACAAGTTAGGGTGACAAAGAAACACAGTTCGCCTGATGGCTAATGATTCATAAGGCCCATAGATACCTACATCTATATATCATAGATTAATAATTAAAATGCATATACGTTACCACCTTTGAAGTAGGTAAAATGTCCCGTTAACCAGTAAAAACTATCTCGGGATCGAGTATGACTATAACAGAGGGGCTCTCCTACGTTTAAGTTTTTCTCCACCCCGCCTTACATAATATTCTCCATCGAAAAAAGTGTCCACTACAGAGAGTTAACGTGATTCGAGTCTTACAATTAAATTTTACTTTTAATTAATTTACTAAAGCTATATTTTTTACGTGGTAGAGCCATGCTGCAACTATATTAGCAGTATAGTTGTAGCACGAATGAGTCGGCTCGACCGGGGAAGGACCACGCTCTCACAGAAAACCAGCGTAAAATAGCAGCTTAACGCTGCTGTGTTTCGTATGGTGAGCGTAGAGAACTGGAAACCCTTTTTACTGGCAAAGAGGCATTCCATCTTAGTCCTCACGGGTGACAACGCATCTGCATCTTGAGTGTTTATTGAGGATAGATGTAGATGTTTATGGGTCACAGTAACCACTTACCATCAGGTGGAATGTGTGCTCGTTTGTCGCCCTGTCCTATAAAAAACATTATGTCTGTTGAACAATAACTTCAAATTACATAATATACATATAATTTTATTTGCAAATATAAATATTACAAGCCAGCATAAAGTGTTTTTAGCAACTATTTTATCGCTATTGCTATTAAAAGTTTTGTTTTTGATAACCTTCCCGTAATTTAATAAAACCAAGGCTAAATTATGGCAATTTACTTTAAGAATTAAATCAAAATAAAAATTTAAAATTTATACCTATCAATTCGATGATAAAACTAATATAGCTTTTAACTTGTTTAATGGATCTTTAGAAGAAAATAAAAGTAGATATGAAAAATGTTTGATATTTACCGTTATCGCTCATTACGTTATTTAAAACCTTCAAACATCAAACGCATAACGATATTCATCATGTTGCGATCTGAGTCTCACATAAAATCAAATTACTTGAAAGAAGTTTCATACAATTATTTGCCATATATCGTCGATGTGATCTCGTATACCTGCTAAGAATATGTCACCACTATTCGAGCAATAACTCATTAATTTATTAAAGGCTCCTCGCAAGCTAGGAGGAAACAATAATAGAGCTTTATTTTAAAATTAGGACAATACCATATTTATAAATCACCCTCATGTTAATATTCCCATGGTTTTGCGTGATTAAGTAATAAATTTTCAACGCAAAACTAGGCACATGAGAAAACGGTGATCTGACGGTAGGGAAATTCGAGTAGAGCAACAGAACCAATGGGTCTTCCAGCTGGCCGACTTCATGGAGAAAGAGGGACTCTTTATAATTAACTCTTTCTTTCAGAAGCGGCCCCACAGAAAGTAGACCCGGTCGAGCCCCGACGGTGGGACAAAAAATGAGATTGACTTCATTACGACGACTAGATGGCAACTGTTCAGTGATCGCGAAGGTGGAAACTGGCAGCGATCACCGAATGGTGAAAGACATACTGAACTGACCACCGAGGTTACGTCGAATGAATTTAACGCTCCGTCCCCCTCGTGCTCTAATCCAAAGCTCCGAAAACTTTCAGCTCGAATTACAAAATCTTAATCAAAATTTGGGCAGTGCTAGCGCCTTCAGCGGTGAAGCGTTTGTACGGTAGGGCTACGATAGTAATCCGAGTACAGAACCAGAGTACGAAACCTATCCAACTGAAGAGAGGTGTAAAACAGGGTGACGTAATGTCCCCGAAACTCTTCACCGCTGCATTGCAAGACGTTTTCAAGCTACTGGATTGAAAAAGATACGGTATTAACATTAATGGCGATTACATCCCTTACCTTCGATTTGCCGACGATATAGTCCTTATGGCAGAATCGCTTAAGGACTAAGCACTATGCTCAATGATCTCAATAGTGTATCCCAACGGATAGGTCTTAATATGAACATGAGCAGAACGAAAGTCATGTGTAACGTCCATGTCACACCTATGCCGGTAGTTGTTGAGAGCACTAAGTTCGAAGTTGTTGTCGAGTATGTTTACCTGGGACAAATAGTCCGACTAGGTGAGTCTAACTTCGACCTAAAGGAAAGTTCCTGAAGGTGTATAGACGAATTCAACTTGGCTATACAGCGTTCGGAAGATTATGACACATCTTCTCGTCAGGCATACCTCACGACCTGAAAACAAGATTGTACAACCAGTGCGTATTGTCAGTGATGACTTATGGATCTGAGCCGTGGTCCTTCACTGCTGACCGTAAGAGAAAGCTCAACTATGTAGAGGTCTATGCTCGGAGTTTTTCTACTTGATAGACTTAAAAATGAGGATATCCGCAGTAGAACAAGATTAACCGACATAGCCCAACGGATTAGTAAGCTGGAGTGGCAGTGGGCCGGCCATATAGCTCGAAGAACCGGCAACCGATAAAGGTTTTCAAGTGGCAGCCTCGTACTGGCAGGCTAATTGTAGGACGTCCCCCTACTAGATGGAGTGATGACCTGGTAAGACATACAGGACGTCGATGGCACTGTGATTGTGTTTTGTAGCATTCCTTGAGGGAGACCTTTGTTCAGCAGTGGACTTGTGAATGGGCTGTAATGAATGAAAGTAACAAATTTTACATAGCATATAATTAACGTTTAATATAGATTAACACATACTTCCAGTTTATTCTTCAAGAAATAAAAAAGAGATCTCTTTTGTTCCAGGTCTTTTTATTCTGCTTATGCTGGGTTTCTTTGCGTTGGGTACAGCGTGCTTCATACTATTCCTACATCCTTATGACTTCTTCTTTCGTCAGGTAAGATTAATTAGTATATGACTATCATATTATGTGACAATGCTATCACATAATGTGACATTTATTACATGCTCGTTTGATTTATATATATGTATATTTTACTTTAATTTTGTATTTCTTTATCTACTTCCTCAAAACCTACTTTATTTTATCTCTGCATTACTCTAAGGTTAACTGTTAGAGAATGGCTGGTGGTAAGCTTAAAGGAAGGATAAGGTACCGTGTAGTGGCGGTGTAAGAATGTCCACTACTCCATATCATCCCATGGGTGTCGTAAAAGGCGACAGAGTGAAACAAATCAGGAGATGGGCAGCAGCGTCTTCCTAATAACGACTAAAATAACAAACTGCGGTTGCCTACCCGCTTGCCAAGCGTGGAAACCATGGCAAATATCCCCCCTATGATTCAATCTATGGGGGAGTCCTATGTTCAGCAGTGAACTATAGTAGGCTGTAACAGTAACATTAAGCTTGGAGGAATCCATCATCCCATTTTGTCCAGTGCGTATCGTGGCTTCTAATAGATCACGGTATAACCGTCTTGTTTGCTCTTTGCGTAAAATACCCACACTGAAGACGGGTAGGAGCCTTAAAGTTGCGAGATGGGAGACCAAGCACAACGATTAATACCAGTCCTCTCTGCAACAGGAGCGACCTAGCAGTTAACTGCTGCGAGCTAATTAAGAACAAGAAACATCATACATGCATGAGACTAAACAAATAATTGAAACATTTAAAACACTTTAAAAAGCGAAAAACTATGTAAGGTTCTAGTGTAAAAATATTCTACATGTTAGGGCTTCCATTCTGCCTAAGATCCCACATGGGTTGGTAATATACCGCTTTTCTACGTGTTTCGTCAAGCACTGCACCCACTTTTGTATTCCAACTTGAAGGATGAGAGAGCCAGTACAATACATTTTAACTTAGTGCTTAGGAGTAACAACACATCTGTTATGTTGATGTCCAGGATGTATTACTAATTTGTTTGACACTAAATTATAAAAAAAGCTACGCACCTTAGGGTAAATGTGTTAAATTAAAAAAAGAAAATGAAGCAAGTTTCTAATGAGAGCATCCACTACTTTTTCTGCCACCAGGGCAGCGCCACTTTGGAAGTGGTGAATTATTTGACAGATTACATGGACAAGAAAGACGTAGTCAAGGCCAACACGTCGGGAGGATTCATTTAGTCTGTTAAGCATGTCTTGAAGTTCTTGCAGCAATTTTGCCATGACGACGATATCATCAGCAAAGATTAAGTGTGAGATGTACTCACCGTTTACGTTAATGTCGCGCTCTTTCCTGTCTAGCGTCATAAAAACATCCTCCAATGCATTTGTAAACTGTTTAGGAGATATAACATCCCCCTGTCTGACTGCCCTGTACGTGAATGGACATCGTACTGGTGTTGTAAAGGCATCTCAGCACTTACCACCAGGTACATCGTACCACCAGTCAATTTGGCACCGCTGCAAAGAATTCAGAACAGCCTAAGTTTCGATGGAGACAAAGGCGTCCACATGTCTACATATCATAGTCCACAAATGGAGGCTGGTTATACTCTGTTGTCTGCTGTATTATTTGCCGCACTGTATGAATGTGGTCTATAGTAGCAAATTCTCCTCGAAACCCAGCCTGTTCCGCAGGCTGAAAGTCATCGAGTCTTCGCGCGAGTCGATTTATGATGACTCTTGAAAACAACTTATAGAAGGGGCTCAGAAGCGAGATGGGTCGATAATTTTTCAGCATAGTCTTGTCACCTTTCTTGTGAAACAAGACTGTAATGTTTCTGTTCCACGCCTTTGGAGTTCTCCCATCTCGTAAGAAGCAGTTAAAAACTCGGCAGAGCTCTTTTAGCAAGGGTTGACTCCCAGCCTTTAAGAGTACTGTTGTAACTGCATCTTCTGCAAGGACTTTTGCATTTTAAAGTTGGCCGAGGGCCAGCTCAATCTCCTCAAGGCAGATGTCTGGCAGCTCGTCGATATAGTGGCGGGTGAGCGTGGCTCTGGGATCATCGCATTTAGGGTCAGATTGTGGCTTATTTGAGGCATATACCTCAGACTTTGACGTGAGGGTACTTTTCCATTATGCGTCTGCAGTCTTGCGATGTGACTTCTCCCAAGCTCCTGAGAAAAGATTTTGGATCCCTTGTTTTGCTCTATTACTGCTTGTATCGCAATTGCATTAGAGCGACGCAGGTCCCGCCTCACAGCTTTCCTCACAAACTTGGTTAATGCCACCTGTTTCGATGGCGTTGCTGTTGTTAACTCACGCCTTCTTTTCATAAGCTGATGTCTCTCATCTGAGAACCTCGACTTTCGGCCCATATGTTGCTTGCCACAAAACCTGTTGCCCTCATCCCTTAAGATTTTGATCATGCTGATAAAGTCCTCGTCAATATAAAACGTGGGTCTCAAGGCTTCGAATCGGTTTTTAAGTTCTTACTGGAAGCGTTGGGAGCCAGTTACGTTTTGAAGCAGATTTGGTCGAAGGGTGGACTTCATCAATTGAAACCTTTCAAGCGTAAAATCGATATTCAGAGGACAAGGCGGTGATCGCTTCCGGTATTAAATTTGTATCCCTCCAGAAAATAGAGCAGATAGTCCGACTGCAGGTTAAGTGTATCCTCCCCCTCTCTACGGACTTCACTTAACCCTACAGTATGCCATCGCATATTTTCCAGCTCAGCTTCCAGTTCGTAGATGTTTAACTGGTGGCCGTGTTTTTGTAGTGCTGTTCATGGGAGGATTTGCCCTTAATCGCCACGCTGGGAAAGCGGGTTGGCGATCGCAGTGACAGACACATCGTACCTATTACATTAAGGCCCCCCGCGCACTAGGCAGCCTGGCTGCGCAGCCAGGCTGCGGCGGCCGAAATATTTGAGCAGCCACTTCTAAGCAGCCAATGGACGGCGAGTTGTGACACTTTCTTCGAGGGATATGGACGTAGAAGAACTTGTAATTTTGTGCGTATTTCGTAAAAACGCCAAGCTAAAAGACATTCAATGCATCCTTTTTTTCTAGAACGGCACTCAAAAGGCTTATTTCATACCTGTTTTAAAGATGTTCATGAATACCCATACCGGTTTTTTAACTACACGAGAATGTCAGTGCAATCATTTGATAACCTTTTGGAAAATATAAGAAATTCAAGCAAGGGCACTGATACTCCCATAGATATATCCCATATTGCTTTACGGTTTTCAATTTCACGAATAAATTTCTCAGTGTCAAAAGCCATTTTGTGATTTCTGAACACAAAATACGCCTGGCTGCTACGACAAGTGCGCGGTGACTGACGGCAGCCACATACATTTGCCCTGCTCGCTCTGGCTGCGCGCAGCCAACGGGCTGCCGTGCAATCGGACGCGCTTTTATGGCTGCCGCAGCCGGGAGTTCGTGGCTGCTTGGTGCGCGGGCTCCCATACACCGTCATATGTTCGACTGGCTGCCGTAGCCTGGCTGCCGCAGCCAGGCTGCCTAGTGCGCGGGGGGGCTAACGGCATCTTTGGTCTGACGATGACTGCCGCCATCTGTCGGAAACCTAAAGGTCTCCTTTTTTATGACATTTCCCTATATCGGCTCGTACGACATCCACGGGGATAAGAGGAGGTGGCAGTATTCCAGGCCGCTGCAACACAGCAATTAAAAAAGCCGAAAAACATATGTATAGAACGCAACTTTTCAAAGATAACATCCATGACCATCATGACCATGTAGGTAACAAATAAGTTCAATTTAGTCACAACTAGCGACATCTGGTGAGCTTAAGAATATTAGCCCTTATTGATGACATCCTTATTTCTTAAAATCGTTTAAAACTTTTTAAACATAAGCAGAATAGTCCCTACACCTTCAATTTTTATCATACTCAAGGATAATAATATAAGACGTACTAAAGCTTTTTTAATTTATTTCCATGACTACCAATGGACTTTTAAATGAAAGACAAGACGCATAGAGTCTTGAATAATGTATGTTTTACAAAAAGAAAAATATATAATACAATTTATTTTAATTGCTAATTAAAATCATTAAAAGCTGTTGTTGATACTAAAATTTAAATAGTGTTTTCAAAACTACTACGTTTTTGTCTTAATGTTTTTTAAATAATCGCACAAATAACAAAATACAATGCTTTAAGTCATATTTACATTAAATTAACATTGTTAAAGACATTAAAATTTTATAAATTTACATACCCGAGGCGAAACCATTCGATTTTATAATTAGTTGATATAATAATAATTTGAAATAAATATTGTGAAGCTAGTACAAGTGTTTATCAAGACTACAAAAAATATTTTTTTTTAAATAATGTGTCATACATTATTTAAAAAAAAATTTTTTTGGATAATTCATATATAAATAATTTATATATATATATATATATATATATATATATATATATATATATATATATATATATATATATATATTGATGACACGTTTTCTTTCACAGAAAGTAGTCCTAGAGGATGGCGGCGAAATCTTCGAAATGTGGAGGAAGCCAGAAATAAAACTATATTGCAGAGTATATTTATTTAACATCACCAACGCGGAAGAGTACATGTCGGGCAAGGACAGCAAGGTGAAGGTACAGGAGATTGGACCCTACGTTTACCAGTAAATATTTTTTTTACGAATTCTTCGCCAATTGTCTTGCAATACTATATAATTACGTGGTAGAGCTATGCTGCTGCTATATTGTGGTTATAGCACAAACGGGTCGGCTCGACCGGGGAAGGACCACGCTCTCACAGAATACCAGCGTAAAATAGTAACTTAATGCTACTGTGTTCCGTATAGTGAGTGTAGAGAACCGGAGATCCTTTTTACTGAAAAAGAGGTATGTCATGTTAGTCCTCAGTCTGTCTGCATTATGATTCTTAATCAAGGATAAATGTAGCTGTCTATGAATCACAGCACCGTCTTACCGTCAAGTGGAGCACACAGTTCGTTAGTCATCTTATTCTATTTAAAAAATATCATGCTATTCGGTTTCCACAATTCACCATCAGCTTTCCAAAATTTTTACAATATTCTTGGATATAATGTCAGAACTTGTTTTACTGTTTCTATTTGATTTAATTTGCTAATTAACCCGTGACTTTCTGTATTGTAAACTATTGGGTTGTAAGGGTGAATATTTCAACTTGTTTCCAAATTCCAAACTATGCAGCACGATGTGCCTTGCTGATTAACGAACGAGTCTCCGAACGCAAATCCTACGATCTGGTGATGAATAAGGTGCAAGGCTGTTCAGTGTTCATTCTCCTACTCACCTTCCGAGCATTTTGAATATACAACATTGTTACAACGTCGCATCGTCGCATCGTCGGCAGCCGAGTTGCAATTACTTTAATGAATTGATCATTGATAGAAAGGGGTATGAAAGTGAACTCAAGTAAGACGAAAGTGATGGTTTTTGAAAGAGAAGAAAGTAAAACTTTATGGAAATAAGAATAGAAGGGGAATTGATTGAGCAAGTGGATGAGTTTGTATATTTGGGATGTTTATTTAGCAGGGATGGTAGATATGATAAGGATATAGAACGACGAGTGATCGCAGAAAATAGAGTGAATGGGGCTCTACACGCTATTATGAGGAATCAGAATGTGTCAAATAAAGCACGTATGGCAATTCATAATGCTGTGTTAGTCCCTACTTTATTGTATGGTAGTGAAAGTTGGGTCTGGCAGAAGAAGCATGAGAGTAGAATAAATGCTGTAGAAATGCGGTCCTTAACGAGTATGCTAGGCTGAATCTGAATGACAAGGTGAGAAATAGTGTGATAAGAGAAAAGTGTGGTGTGCAAAATTATGTTGTGACAAGGATTAAGAAAGGAATGCTTCGGTAGTTTGGTCATGTAGAAAGAATGAACGAGGAAAGAGTGACAAAGCAAATTTATGTTGCAGAAGTGAACGGCAGGGTCGGGAAGGGACACCCTAGACGAAGGTTTACCGACCAAATCGGCGATACATCAAAAATGGGCCAGATTAGGAGTACCTTTAACCGACGAGCGTGTATGCGTAGATATATGGATGTAAAGTAGGCGAGAGAGGTGTGTCAGGATCGCGCCAAATGGAAGTCCGTAGTCTCTGCCTACTCCTTTGGGTGACAGGCGTGAGTGTTTATGTATGTATTATGTATGTAACATTGTTACAAGTAATGCTTGCCAGCTGGTGCATATGTCCAACAGTAACCCAAAAAGGCTCTTGATGTACAATATGTAATTGAAGCGAAATATATACAACATACGAACCAAACGATTTGCTTTGTCATTCATAATACATACAGCATAGGACTAATTTGCAGCTTCTGTCTTTCTCTAGAATTACAACGTGGGTTTTTCGTACAATGAGTAGGCTTTTATTTCACTACACCAGTACAATTCGTCATCTAAGACTAAAACACTTACGATCAGTTGCTTTTGTAATCATACTAGGAAACAGAACCGTGCTACTGCATGTTCCGGAACTCGAATTTTAATATTGATACTTAGAAGATGTTTGATACTCGTATCACTTGACACTCTCAATGTTATAATCTTTCACATGATCTATCATGTTATCGAATTTAATGTAATAAACTTTTTAAAACATATATTAATCGAACTTAATAAATAGATAGGAAAGGATAACAATACTAAACATAATTTTGTACCATTTTTAGGGAGGGTTTGGAGCATGAAGTTCTTCGCTTCAATGACAATGGAACTCTGTCCGCGATCCCGAAACACCCGCTAACCTGGGTTGAGGAGTTGTCCGAGGGCAACAAAGAGGACGATATTGTATATTTGCCACACATTGCCTTACTTGTGAGTAACTTTAGTATTATATATTATGTTTATTTTATCATGCTTCACTATTACTACCCCGCCTGTGCTCCAACGCTTTTCCAAATTAGTATTAACCGTAATCATCACGCTTCACAGACAGAGGCCGATGGTTCTGGCACTATTCGTTGTGGTCTATCTGGATATTTTTAGAGCGCACAAATTTTGGTTTCTTCCATCCGAATGTTCTGCTAACTCAAATTATATGTAAGTGCAAAGGGATGACAAAAAGAGGAAACAATGCCACTAAAAATACATTTATATTGTCTTAATGTAATAATTTTCTACATTTTAAGAAAAATGCAGGTTTGTTAACGAACCGATCATTAATATGTGTATATAAAACAAGCAGAGAAACACAAAATAAAAACTTATTATATATAATAAAATAAATGACCTCCAAACCGATTTTCGGTCACGGCGGCCAGTCTCAACGGACACTAGTCATCTGCACAGGACAGGATTATGACGTTAGAGTGTATGTGCTAGTACAGGTGAATTCTCTATTCTCTCAGGTGCGTTCCCTATTCTCTCATGCTCATAGTTAGACGGGACGGTAGTGCAACACGATCGGACAGATATCAGGCGCAAGACCTATGGCTTTACGTGCTTTTCGAGAAACGGGGCTGAAACACCGCCAACTTTCTGACTCTTCTGTAAGAAGTTTTTTGATTGAAAACCCCCAATAACAGATTTTAGCCCGTCCCGGGAACCAAACTCGGGACCCTATGATCAGCAACCACGTTTACGACCATTAGAGTTAAATAAGATTTTTTGGTATATAACCAGCGTTGCGGTACGGATTTTTCTGTAGATCTACGGAATTTTTTCATCGTCTACGACACTATAAAATTTGACTTGAAATCTACAGAATTTCCATGTTAATTTTTTTGTACTTTTACAGTCCTTTCAGAATAATTATATTTTTAAAAACTTAACTAAAATATTTTTTTCATGTGTGTGAACTTAGCCAACAAACGACAATCGAAAATTTTAACAATCGAAGAATTTTTTCTAATATAAAACTATCCTCAAATAGTGTTAGTTATTTTATTTGTTTTTACTAAAAATAATTTAATTAAAAGAAAACAATTAATTTTTAATCAATTTTTATGGCACTTTTTTCTTATACGGAATTATACGGAAATGTTTATACCAATCTACGGATTTGGAAAAATTCGAGTTGGTAACACTGTATATTTAATTGAAAATTAGACATAATTATGTCTAATTTTTAATATAATAATTAATTAATTTATTAATTATTTTATGAAAACTATTTAAAAATCGATTTCTATATAATATTTCTTTCTTTCTAAAATAAATATAACGTTTTATTTTGCCTACAAATTACCTCAATCTGTATTTATTTACAGCCAGAAATAAATAGCATAATTTTAGACAATTCACCTAATTTTTTTATTCTAATGTCCTCCAGACCGAATAACGGTCACGGCGACCAGCCTCAACGGAGACTAGCCATAGGCTCAGGACAGGATTATAGTGCCCAAGTGTATGCGCAAGCACAGGTGCACTCTCTATTCCCTCACTCTCATAGTCCGATGGGATGGTAAAACGACACGACCGGAGAGAGATCAAACGCAGGACGAACGGCTTTACATGGTTTCCGAGGCACGGGGGTGAGACACCGCCAACTTCCTGGCTCCGGGCAGCTACTGAGAATTTCTTGATGGAAAAGCACAGTAACTGATTTTAATGGCCCGACCCGGGATTCGAACCCGGGACGTCATGATCAGTAGTCGCACTACTACAACCACTAGACTAACGATTATTGAAAGAAACGAGGCAGTCAAACGGACTGCCTCGTTTTACTAATAACTGTATGGGTACAAAAGTTAAAATGTGTTTCGAATTGTCGACCCGGATATTTTAATGGCCAATATGACAGTCTTTATATTGCGGCTTTTGATTTATTGACCGCACCTACGAGTATAATTTACATAACGTACCTACTGCTGTCCAGTTTAAGCTTTATAATTTAGATTTTTTGTAACACGATCGTTTAGTATCAGCGTAAAAAATCTAATCTTAACATTTGATTATCTTGACGTGTCTTGATCAGACGTGATCATGTCGTGAACTGTTCATCATCATTACCAACATTACACCCTATCAAAGTTCACTGATGATATAGGCCTTCACATACATTGCCTCATATGGACGATATTTGCCACGGAAGTTGGCAAACGCAATTTTTTATTTTCTAGATGTTATTAGGAAGACGTGATGATCATCCCTATGGTTTGTTTCTTTCGATAACCACAGGACAATATGGGGTAGAGGATGTTCTACACTACACCGTTTTGTTATTATTGAGTACAGATATTAAGATATACATACTTAAGTTATGGCTGCTCATTACTTTTTTATATATATAATTAGGGTGATTAACGACCACACAGTCCACCTGATGATAAGTGGTTGCTGTGACTCATAGACATCTACATATATCCTCAATAAACACTCAAGATGCAGATGCGTTATCACCCGTGAGGACTAAGATGGGATGCCTCTTTTCCAGTAAAAGGAGTCTCCGGTTCTCTACACTCACCATACGAAACACAACAGTGTTTAGCTGCTATTTTACGCTGGTATTCTGTGGGAGCGTGGTCCTTCCCCGGTCGAGCAGACCCATTCGTGCTACAACTATACCGTAATGTAGCTGCAGCATGGCTCTACCACGTATATCACACTTGACTATATCGTATCATGTCAGCGTATCGGCAAGTTCTTTATATACTCTACAAATTTTCCTCCTATCTTTGTATCTTTTCCATGTCTAAACATTTCAAGACAATGCAGTGGCGTGTAGTATGATAAAATGATAGGAGAAAAATCAGCTTGAGATGGAACGTGGCGTATCATGTATCGTATCGCAATGTCGTATCATGATACAGTATCATTATGTGTCCATGTTATCAGTCACGATACGTATATACGATACGAGATGTATTAAATACTAGGTATATGCGGATGTGTCAGACATGGTATCGTAATGTCGTATCTCATGATCGCGTAAAATTAACGTGTTTTATTTTGCATCCAAACTAGCGATCATGTTACAAGTCAAAGTCACGATACGATACCCCAACGACCTTATTTGGTTTATCATTACTATATTACTATATTTTATATTCGATTCTTTTTCATTATAAGTTTGTAGTATTCTACTCCTGGACGTTGGAATACCACACAGTATTAAGGAATTTCTCGCTAAGCATAGTTGGATTGGTGATCGAGTACCAGAAGTCTCACATCTTTGACTCTGTTCACGATCGTCGGTCAGACTTCTTTATATCTGTTATATACAACGTTATTGAACTGTCATCTATATGAATATAATAAACGCATCTGTGTGAAAATAGTAAAATCACAATGGTAGTTTCATTGGTGAGGATCAAGCTCAGTTTGCTCGCGTATTTGTTACGTGGTAGAGTCACTGTAGCTATATTATGGTTGTAGCACGTTTGTGTCAGCTTGAACGGGGTAGGACCATGCTAAATAGCAGATTAATAGTGCTATATTTCGTATGGTGAGTGTGGAGAACCGGAGACTCTTTTTACTGGAAACGAGGCATTCTATCCTAGGGTGACAAAGCATCTGTATTTTGATTCAATATCGGGGTTAAGATGTATAAGCCACAACATCTACTTACCATCAGGTGGACTCGTTTTTCACAATTATTCTATGAAAAAGCATTTGAAAATTTTAACGTAAGCTCTTGTATCCTAAACTACCACAGCTCTTGAAACTTATTTATTGCTTCATATACGCCCCATTTATTGACATGCTATGTGTTAAAAAAAATCATTTGTCACCCCATTTCATCCTATGGTCGGGTCGGAAGAGGTGATTATACGAGAGACTCGAAAGACTTTGTGGCCTATAAAATACGGCAGTATATCATCCCGAATGTACCAGATGTCTGTGTCTTTCCCAGACCAGTCTCGGAAAGAGTATCAAATGTGCAGATATGGTACTGTGACCACCAATCGGCGTTACAGCAATATCCTCCTAAAATAGAATGTGCATTGTTAATAGCTGATAAAGATTAAAGAGAGAAGATATTGCTTAATATAATTGTAGGTTGTATTAGTTATAGTAATTTGTAGTTAATTTGTTTGACCATCAGATAATCAAACGTTTCATCAATCTCTCCACCCTTTTGTTATCGACATACCTACCATGTATTTGAACCAAACGGTTTGCTAAATCGTTAATAATGCATACAGCAGTGGAGTGTAATAATTTGCCAACATCTGTCTTTCCACGTTATTACAAATTTGGGTGTGTTCGGTGTAAGAGTGCGTAAGCTAAGTCAGTGCATTTTATTACCATCAGCTGCATCACCACTTACTATCAGGTGGGACAGTAGTCAAGCATTGACTTATAAAAGTTAAGAAAGTTATAGCTAAATATACCTCAATGTTGCAATTATGTGGTTTCTTAACTTCATGATAATAATTATACCACTTTACCGCATGAGTGATTACTTACGAAACGTAATATTGCAATAAATTATAAATTGAATGGTGCCACCAATCTATGCACAATGACTTGTATATCGCCTATTATTCTCGTAAGTGCGTCCAACACAGTTGCATCTAGTGTAAATGCTTCAACCATTTCTCAAAACTATTGCATGAAACTAAAGTTGACAGGCAGAGAATGTATGTACGGGTCAATAAAGGTGAAATAAATAATTAAAAATATTTTATACTTATTTATTATAATAAAAATTATTTACATGAAATTAAAACCGACTTATATAGTCATCTTAACTGCAGTGCAATTACGTAACTCTGGTGGCCAGTAGGATCTAACCGCAACAGCGTTATGTTTTTTTTAATCTGCCAACTTCAAAAAGTAGACGATACTCAATTCGACTGTATGTTTTTTTTTTGTTATGTATGTTACCTCATAATTTGTTACTGGCTGAATCGATTTCGATGATTCTTTTTTTATTTGAAAGCTGGTACTACACATGCGGTTCCTTATGAATTTGATTAAGGTCAGAACAATAGTTTTTGAGTTATTATTAATAATTTATATTGAAGTCAGCTGTACAAAATTTATATTTTTAAATTATTGTACAACAGAACCTACAGAATTTACGTCATTTATATGATAACACGTTGTAACCTAAAATAGTTGTTCTTAATATAAAAAGACATCGGCTTATAATCGACACTAATACATTTACACAATAATTATGATGTCCATCAAACTTTACTGCGTGGTAGTTGTGGTGGAAGTATTCCTTTTCTATCCAGTAGATTACCAGTCTACACTTTTATACGTGGTAGAGCCATGCTGCAGCTACATTAGTAGTATAGTTGTAGCACGAATGGGTCGGCTCGACCGGGGAAGGACCACGCTCTCACAGAATACCACCGTAAAATAGCAGCTTAACACTGCTGTGTTCCGTATGGGCAGTGTAGAGAACCGGAGACCCTTTTTACTGGAAAATAGGCATTCCATCTTAGTCCTCACGGGTGACAACGCATCTGCATTTAGATTCGCAAACGAGGATAGATGTAGATGTCTATGGGCCACAGCAACCACTTACCATCAGATGGACTGTGTGATCATTTCACACCCTATCCTATAAAAAAAACTTAATTCAAAAATGTGATGTTGCATACGAATATATTATAAAAAATACAGTCGAATTAATTTCGTTCTCAAGTCGATAAACAATAAACATGCTAATTTGCACGTATTTTGATCTTTTATCATAAGATGCGAGTAATATATTATATCATATTAATTCACAAATATCATTGGCATTAATATCAATGCCCGGCTGATAAAAACAATTTGGCGCAGCATCGCATTCCGACGAACATTTTATGTAAATAAATAATTTATCACCACAATCAGGTTTTTTTTAAAACATACTAGTCTAAAAGTTAATTACAGTGATATGAACTTCATTTTTCGTATATTTTTTTTGTGACACGTATTTCCTTCGATCATACGATATTTTACAATGTTTTCATGTTATGGGAAGATTCGAACCATTACTAAGACAGCATTCATGTGACTAAAAATTCTACAAAGTAGCGTTCTAAAAAATGGGCCACAGCATCCACTTAACATCAGGTGATTGTGTGCTCGTTTGTCACCCTAATTCTATAAAAAGGAAGAAGTACGCAACTTCATACATCTCTGCTCCCTCCATTGTTGTCTACGTGTAGTTTTTCAAGCTTTATGTTTTATAAATTAAAAAAAAAATGTGAAAATTTTCTGTAGATATTCTACTTCTACTTCTTTAAATCGTATATCCAGTAATTAGGTACTCGAAATAATTTTGTCTCCGCTCTTCTTCATCAAACATAATTTGAAATACGAAACATTTATTTATGCAGACTGTCTACCGTACACGATCACGACCTACATATTTGACACGCTTGGCAAGTGGATTGGCAACCTCAGTTTATTTTTTTTTATTTTAGTCGTTATTAGGAAGACGCCACTGCCCATCTGATTTATTTCCCTCTGTCGCCTCTTACGACACCCATGGGATGGTATGAGGTAGTAGATGTTTTACACCGCCACTACGGCAGTCGATGCCAGTATACATACTGCGATTGTTAATAATTCTGATAAATGTGTTGTGAGGATTGTCGATAGACAAAAAAGACAAAGTTTTGAACTATTTCTACTTCCTAATAAATTGTGACAACCCTATCACAATGTAACGTAAAATATTTTAAAAAAAACTATATTTGTGCTTACTTATTGCATTATAGAACTTATTTTAAAATTATTTGCATGTCGTCGTCGTGGTGTTACGCGTTGATAAAATTAATTATCACTTTGGATTAAGGCTTGTCATGTAACATATTATGCTCATATTTGGATCAGCAATTTTGACACAACTGGGTTCCGAATCGGATATGTGTAGATGCATTTTACGTGGTAGTGCCATGCTGCAGCTATGTAGTATAGTTGTACATATTAGTAGTACAGTTGTAGCACGAATGGGTTGGCTCGACCGGAGAAGGACCACGCTCTCACAGGATACCAGTGTAAAATAGCACTTTAACATTGCTGTGTTTCGTATCGTGAGTGTAGAGAACCGGAGACCCTTTTTACTGGAAAAGAGGCATTCCATCTTAGTCCTCACGGGTGACAACGCATCTGCATTTTGATTCTTTATTGAGGATAGATGTGGATGTATATGGGTCACAGCAACCACTTCCCATCAGGTGGACTGTGTGCTCGTTTGTCACCCTATCCTGTAAAAAAATATATAAAGATGGTACTCGGTCAGACCACACATACAAATATTGCTTCAGCATTAATTGACGCAGCCGCGTTATTTGGATACAACTACACTAGCAACAAACGACTGCTTCATTGGGCTAGAGGTCCTAAGCGCAATTGCTGTCCATGAGGTGCCGGGTCGAACCAAAATTAGATAATTGGTTTATCTGCCAAGCAATTCTCAATATTTTTTAATAACTGGCTTTACTGCTCTGGGTTCTAGCCCTTCTAAGCCTGAAGTTACAATGTATGATTATCCTTCATAGTACACTGCTTCACTATATGTTGATGCGTCACATTGTGCAGCCGTTGGGAGATTTTGACGGCTACCATCGCCAACTGTCAGCTGTCTAGATGACAGTTGGCGATGGTATCTTAAGGCGCCTAAGCAGAAACACACCTTATCTTGAGAATCACATCACTATCAGAGCACTTGTTTCACCGTTTCCACTAATAGTTCACATGCGCAGACACTTAATACACAAAATCGCACCACTTTTACATATCAAAGTCCACTTTAAACCATTATTTAAACAATAATACAGGAGTAGCAATCCGTGCCGGTCAAGTTCCCGGCAAAACTCCAGCTATTCACAAGAAGTTTGCGGTGTAAAGAGTATATAATCACCACGTTTTAGTTGGCAGTGTTTCACTCCCGTTTGTCCTTCGCCTTTCTCAGGTCGTGTCAGATTGCCGTCGCATTGGACTATGAGAGGGAGGGAGTAGAGAGTGCATCTGTGTATGCGCTCACACTTGTGCACCAAAATACAGTCTTGTGCAGATGGCTAGTGTCCGATGAGTCTGGCTGCCATAACCGAAATTTGGTCTGGAGGACATGTTTGTTATTAGCCACATCGAATTATTGGAAAAGCCTATGACCATCAGTGCAATTAAAAAGGCATTTATTGTACTTTGATTATTATTATTCAATTATTAATGAATGAAAGAATATGAATTCTGTGAAGGTATATTTAGGAGCATCAATCACCCGATCATCTCAATCAGTGGCTGTCGTAGAATAGAAGTCTTGTGGCTTCCGATAAATGTTAACATAACCATCTCGTGTACACGCCATATTTAACACTTTCACTGTCCGATTTTCAGACACAACAAGTACTGATTTCTTATATTTACGCGAAGCTGGATTATGAATGTGGTCTCTCGTACATAGGACAAACAAAAAGATCTATTAAAACCCACGTTAAAGAACATATAGCTGACGTGAAGCACCGACGTATCGGGAAGTCTGCAGTTTGTGAACATGTTCAAGATCGGCCCCGCCATTACATTAGATTTGATAGACCACAAATCCTTGCAAAAGAACACCGATTCCTCCCAAGGATGATTCGCGAGGCTATTGAAATTAAAAAACATCCTAATTTCAATAGAGAAGATGGATGGGTGCTGCCATCTGCTTGGGATCCCATAATTAATAAAATCAAATTCAAACCCAAGTATACCACTGCTAGACTTCAAGATACTGTAAGCTCATTCTGCGTAAATTGAACCAAAAATTAATATTAAAAAACTGAAGGTAGCCGGGCTAACTACGACAGCAGGACGTCAAACACCTCAGTCCCCCGTGACCACGGGTGCTGGAAAGCACCTGAAACGTCGGGAATATAAAAATAAGTTAATATACGCGATAAAATCCGTAAAATCAGTTTTATTTAAAAAACACAACAAGTAAGACAATAGCAATGTACTATATTTAGTACGTTGGACATCGAAAGGGTTAAAACACTCAAACCGACATAAGGATTCTGCAATCGCTATTTCCATTCGTTTCTGTTAGTCCCAATGCTTTTATGAACAGACTTCATGCTTTCCTTGAAATATTTCTTTAGACCACCTGACATGCATTTCTTACGATGTTTTCCTTTGAACTCGGGTTATTCCTGTGCTATAATTTAAGGTAAAAATGAAAAATATAAACAAAGATAACGCCATGCTGCAGTTATATTAATAGTATAGTTGTAGCACGAATGGGTCGGCTTGACCGGGGAAGTACCACGCTCTCACAGAATACCAGCGTAAAATAGCAACTTAAAGCTGCTGTGGTGAGTGTAGAGAAACGAGGCATTCCATATTAATGCTCATGGGTGACAACGCATCTGCATTTTGATTCGCAAACGTGGATAGATGTAGATGTCTATGGGCCACATCAACCACTTACCATCAGGTGGACTGTGTACTTGTTTGTCACCCAATCCTATAAATATATATATATAAAGATGTCACCCTTATACAATAAAATAAAAAAACGCCCTGCCCCTAACTTACCATAGCTCATCATCGTCACGGCTGATGGGTAAGCGCTTGCAATTTAAAAATTTAAAAATATGTGAAATGTTAAATGCAACTTTAAGGGTTAACTATGTGCTCGGCGGTGAAGTAAAGCATCTTGAGTAACTCTACAAGTCTGAGGAATAAAAATATTTCAAAGACATGTAAAGTTCCCCAACGCGTACAGAATAAGCGCGTCGGACTAATTGTTCCACATCTTTCTCAGAAATTAGTAGGCTTGTGTCCAGCAATCGGACGTATATAGTCTGTAACTTTAATTTTTACTATTGCGATGTGATTTTAGTACGACAATCAATTTTTATCTACTGACTGTTTCCTTTACAGAGTATAGCAAATGTGGTGTCTAAACAGTCCTTCATGACCCGGTTTGGACTTAATAGGCTTATATCATTAACGGATAGCCAGCCGCTTGTCAAGATGACAGCTAGGGAGTTCATGATGGGATACGAATCTGAGCTGATGACCTTAGGCAATACCTTCATGCCCGGATGGATATATTTTGATAAACTTGGCCTAATCGACCGGGTAAGTGACTCTATTATTTGATTTTATATAAACATTCTTATAAAGTCGAAGAAAATGAACGATTTTATACCAGATCATTTTTCTCTAAAGTGAGTTGTTTTTTTATAGAATAAGTGTGACAAACACACAGTCCACCTGATGTTAAATGGATACTGTGGCCCACAGACATCTACATTGATTCTCAATTAAGAATCTAAATGCAAATATGTTGTCACCCGTGACGACTAAGATGGAATGCCTCATTTCCAGTAAAAAAAAGTATCCAGTTCTCTACACTCACCATACGCAATACAGCAACATGAGGCTATATTTATAAAAGTGAAGTGACAAACAACCATACAATCCGTCTTACGGTAAGTGGCGACAGCAGTCCATGGACAACTGCAGCCAAAACAAAGAAGTGTAGCCTTCTTGTCTTGCGTTGTCATCCTTGAGGACAAAGACGGAATGCCTCACAACCTGTTGTTTTGTACTGGCTTTCTATACCATTCGGACTGAAACACAGTAGTGCAAGTGCTGCTAATCGGCGTTCATAGGCATAAAGGGACACTTAGTAGTTAGATAGTTGGGTATAAGGTTACATTTTAATGATATATTTGTTATATTAAAATATACTAAGTAGATTGTTTAATTCACTATAAGAAACTATGATGTCATTTACTTTCCTATAAAATTTCTATGGGCTCTAAACGCTGCCATATTGAAATATGGCAGCGTTTAAAAAGCATTTGTTGACATGAGCGTCAACATCCTTATTTAATAAATTTGCTATTTTTATACTGAGACCACTAAATATTTCTTTAAATAAACATTTGTCGAAACTGATGAAAAAAATAATATGCATGCTATATTTTTTTATAGGATAGGATGACAAACGAGCGCAACAGTTCACCTGATGGTAAGTGGCTGCTGTGGCCCATAGACATCTACATTTATCCTCGATTACGAATCAAAATGCAGATGCGTTGTCACCCGTGAGGACTAACATGGAATCGTAACATCGTTTCCAGTAAAAAGGGTCTCCGGTAAAATATATTTACTCGTAGAAAATGATATTTTGTTCTTGGAAAAAGTGAATGAGACATTTTTTTTATTTAAAAATTGTAAAAATTTTAAAATTAACATATTTATTTAGATGTACGATTTCAACGGCGATTACGAAACAGTTTTCACTGGCACCGATGACGTAACAATCTCTGGTCTAATCGACACTTACCGAGGTTCCACTGATCTGCCACAATGGCAAGGAAAACACTGTTCCAACGTTCAATATGCATCAGATGGCACAAAGTTTAAGAGCGGAATCAACATGAATGAATCTATTTTGTTCTACAGGAAGAGTCTCTGCAGACCCGCGGCTTTGGTACGTTGTTAACTTGATTACACTTTTTTAAACAATCAGTTTTATTTTAAATCGAAATAAATGACCTAGTAAGTCCTATGATGGCTTAATAACTTTGTTAGTTAACATAACAAAATTAATATACTAATATTTAAAATTGGCTGTTCCTGCTAAACTTATTCCTTCAATGAAATCAAATATTTTGTATTAACTAGAAAAAAATTCATTGTACAATATCTACGGAAGCTACCTTATGGTAGGGTTTGGACCACAGACTCAAAAAATAGTGGGTTTAACCACCATTCGGCTACTATCATAAACCTAACATGAGCATAAATTACCTGGAGTGCATTTCTAGCAATATTTTATTAAAAAAAAATATAACGTTAGTTATTAAAATATTGATAAAGTACGGTAAGAGCATGAATTATAATTCTAATACTAATGTACATAAATTTTCACGCAGGTTCCAGTAGAAGAAGGAGTCAGAAATGGGCTTAAAGGATATAAATACACATTTGCGGATCACATGTTAGATAACGGCAAGGTCATAGAAGAGAACAAATGCTTTTGTAGAGAAGGTAAATTAAATGCTAATTAAAAAACTATGATGTAATTAATAAACAAAAGTAAAGTAAATCTATATCTTTAAATAGCCAGTAGATTTTTTAAACTAACATTTACAATATAGAAATTTCTCTGGTGTATTGATGCAATTTTCCAAATATAATTTGCACACAAACAAATACCCAGAATTGGAAGAACTGTTAAGAGTCTAGCCTAGAAAGAACTACGTCTTTCAGAAATTCATTAATAACGTTTTCAATCATAATGGATTACTAGTCCTATAGAAAGCGCCATTTGGCATTAACAATACCAATTTTTTTTTCAGGTATATGTCTACCAGAGGGCCTAGTAGATGTCACAGATTGTTACTACGGCTTTCCAATAGCTTTGTCCTACCCTCATTTCTACAAAGGCGATGATATATTGTTCGGCAAAGTTGAAGGACTTACACCTAACAAGGAGCAACATGAAACCAGGTACATATTAGAATTGAACGATGTGCATTAAACACTGTGTGAATGATTTCGAACCCTTGAATGATTTCTTGGGGGTGCACCTTCATAGGTTATGCACTTCACATGAAAATTTTCCGTAAGAAAAAGTGAAGACACACGGACGCATATTCATGTATATTAAATACGATAGAAGAAAACTGCATTTCAAGAATGGGATCTAGGATCAATTATTTTTGGCTTAAAACCGACCAGACGGCTCCGTGGCGCAGTGGCTTAGCGATCAGTTGTTGCGGTGGGGGCTGCGGGTTCGAATGTTGCACGGAACAAGTATTTGTATGGCCTACAAATAATTGTTCCGGGTCTGGATGTTTGTCCTTGTGCAATTTATGTTTATAAACTGCCTCCACGACACAGGAGAAAATCCTAGTGTGGGGGTAACGTTATTTAAAAAAAGAAAAGAAAGAAAGATTACATTGAACCTATAAGAACCCAAAAATGGTGATTGCTAAGCCGTGGCGCTGACTTAGAAAATCCATTACTCCATTTCGCGCAATTATGGGAAATTCTAGGAATTTCTCATGATCTACAATAGATATCGGTGTGACCATTTCCTATTTGCCCTAGAAGTAAAATACCCAGATTGGCGATGGGGAACAGCGTCAAGAGTACGAGACATCTGGGAGACATTCCGTCCGTCAAACTAGGTGTGTTTGGCAAATCTTCCCTATAATTAGAAAGACCCATGTCCGGCTTAGTATTTCCTACAAGCTGAAGAAAAAATAAAAAAAACGTGTTTTTATAACATAATAATAATTTTAAATTTCTTACAACAGTATAATATTTCCAAACTTTTCATTCTTTTAGCCACACAACAAAATTTCTTGATATACTAAATTTACATTCACCCGAAAGAGATTCCAAGAAATATTTTAAGAGTAGGAAAGGTCTTTGAATAGAGTTTGATCATCCATGTTAATATACCCTATTTATATCTTTTCTTTTCAATTTCAAATTCAAATGTATATATTGTAATAAGCTATTCCACTTCTGATGTTAGAAATTATTCTCAAGAGTATTTCAATAAAAGAACTCTACTCGGTAACGAACCCTGCTTACTATCAGGACCCAATTACATGATAACACCAAAGTATGGAACCAACAGCATCACTACCCATCTCAATGTAACACAGGGCAACCTCTCAGCAACACGACCTTCCTTGCCTACTAGTACTATACTAGTAGAATACCCCAACTGACATAGTAATGACAGTGGGACTCTTAGAATTACAGACTGATACCTCTTGGTCGATACTTTATACTGCTAGAATAAGTGGGAGATTACCAGATCTACCTTCATTTGTTCGTATTTCCTTTTATTTTTTTACCCTCTTTCCCAACAATATTATATTTACTTAAAATAAGTCATATTATACATACGTTTAACTATTTATTGCTTTTCTCAGGTTTTGGGTTCAGCCTTATTCCGGTCTCCCACTGGATGTGAGTACCAAGTTCCAGATCAATTTGGCTCTCGGCGATATATCAGCGATCAATAACGTGGAGAGATTCTCTAATATGTACCTGCCTTTACTCTGGTTTGATATTGTGAGTGTTTTTCTGTATTATTGTAAAACAATTCATTCATTCAGGGAATTACATTAATGTTAGTCTAGTTATAAAAGATTGCTCCATAAAAATCCAGTATCTGTAGTAAACTTTTAACGAACAGGATACATTATAGCAGTACCTCCATATATACCTCTTGGAATAAACATATTGCGATGTTAAAAATACCGGGGTTTTAGACGAATCTATTTTAAATTAGCTTTACTAAACCGTGTATATTACTGCTTATTTTTAAGTAGTACCTAGAAGTTGATCTGGGTAGATATGACACCACCCTCTTACTCATTTTTGACGCTAAGGAGCAGTGTGCTCACTAATGTGTTCCAGTTTGAAGGATATATAGGGCCTGTCAAATACTCAGTTTGAATCCGATTAGTGTGTTTTTAAGAAATATTGGACCCAGCTTTAATTATAATCTAGCATCCGTGTACTTTACTGAACTGCGTAAAATTATTAAAATTATACGTGGTAAAGCCATGCTGCAGCTATATTAGTAGTATAGTTGTAGCACGAATCGGTCGGCTCGATCGGTGACGGACCACGCTCTTACAGAATACCAGCGTAAAATAGCAGCTTAACACTGCTGTGTTTTTTATGGTGAGTGTAGAGAACTGGAGACCATTTTTAGTGGAAAAGAGGCATTCTATCTTAGTCTTCACGGGTGACAACGCATCTGCATTTTGATTAGCAAACGAGGATAGATGTAGATGTCTATGGGCCACAGCAACCACTTACCATCAGGTGGATTGTGTGCCTGTTTGTCACCCTATCCTATAAAAAAATGATGAGTCATGGAGATATTCGTTAAATTACATTATTTTAAAGTCTTATGAGTTATTAGTAATTTTTAATATTAATTTATTTAAGGACGGTGTTAAAACCATATATAAAATCAAAATTTTCACCTTTATTTACAGAGAATGTACAGCTTGACGCCGTCATTAGAGTCAAGATTCAAATTATACCTCAACATTCTACCCGTCGTAGAGAAATGCACAATGTACATATGCTTCGTTGTTGCCGCCTTTTTGATCCTCATGACCACCTACATATTGACGTTCAAAATCATGTTTAGGACGTACAACGGCAGAAACAGAAAGTGCAATTTCAACTTTAAAACCGAGTTTTTGTTCGATCAAGAGAGACCTAAAAGCAGAAAGAACGACAACGATTCCGTGTACGCCCCTTGTGAAATACCGCTCAACGATAGCGAATCAGAAAATTTCGAGGAAAAAGAAGAAAAACGGCCTAGTATAATAAAAACACACAGCGAAAAGATCAAAGAGCTAAGCACTAAATTGTCTGACAAAGTTCAAGATTCAGTTGTCAGTGTCAAAATTACATTAAAAGATGAACTAACACAAGTAAAGAACGCTATTAACATAAGAAAGAACTCTCTTTTAAGTCCAGAAGCAGATAAAAGTGACTCAGGGGAAGACAATGACAACTACAAAGATTATAAAGCAGTAAACCAAACGGATAGCGATGAAGACTTTAAATATTTGGAGGTAATCGATGACGGCAGTGAATTTGACGAGTCTACGGTTATATTTCCGACAAACGACAGGCGGCGAGATTCCAAGCTAAAAAGTGAACTGTACTTGCATATCGTTTGATCCGTATAGTTATAAAATGTTCATGTCTTGCCAATTAGAGATGAGACTTTATAGATTTTTATTGAATTTAAATTAATTAATGCAGTGGACGTGCCTTTCAGTGATTTTCAACGTTTTTACCAAATCTATTTTAACTTTGGAACAGTGCGAAAAGACGTTAGCATTTATTAAGATATCTAGCCAAATAAATCGTAGAATCTCATTGTTTTTTTACCGTCAGTCAACCAAATATTCGATTTATAACTTCTATTTATCATATACGATTTATAGTGATGATAAGCGAATGCCGAATGAAATATTTGGTTTTACAAATATTTATAAAATTGATATTTATTTATTAGTATTAATATTTTAATATTCATATCTGTTCAAGTAAGTGCCTGGTTACGGTGGATTAGACGAAATGTTGTCGCTGTATTTTGCCCCATTTTGCGGGAAACATTTTGAACGAAAACCGTTATCTACCTGATATTATACGTTAGTGTAAGTTTGAAATAAGTACCTAAACGTGGAGATTTATTTCTTATGTTCAATCAGTAATTTATTAAGAATATTGCTCAAGATTCCACATCCTATATCGTACGGACTTTGAGTCTTTAACAGATGATGTTTTTTTTAAAGATTTTTGTTTTATTGATTTTTATAATGACGTTTCTTGTGAAAACAGATTGAATATCGTTGGACGGAGGCTAGTGATAGTATTATAACATTCCATTTGAGTAAGTAAATTTCGAATATAGTGTGTTTTCTAATGTTTTGTTGTATATTTTCAACGCAAATACTCTAACCATATCCTTGTTAATCAATTCGTTATAATTTTCGATCGCTCAGACTAACTGATGATAATAATTGAAAATTCTTGCCCTTCATATCTGCAGAATAGTGAACTCAATTAGTATCGAATGTGGAGGTATAGTTTAGTAATTAAGTTAATAATTACATAGCGATATTAATAACTAAGGAATGATTTTGTGATATATCAAATCCATAATCATAATTGCAATATTATGATCAACAGATGTCACGAGGACTAAATAGTATTATCTCTTTTGATGTTGGTGCTCGGTGGACATCTTATTTGTTCCAATTGTAATTTTTAAAATAAAGGATTTTACAACGAATATCTTTTTTATTTCTTCTTCATACAATTTATAATCTGTAATGCCATGTTGTCCGTTTTTCTCCGCAATCTGTCACACGAAATACATAAATTATTTCGTGTGAATAAAATTTAACATCACTTCATAACTACAATTATGCCGATGTACACACAAAAGTAGGTACTTCATTAATTTTCCCAATTTTTAGCTAATATACGAATATTTATATTTCGCTGAATAGCCGAAACAATAAGATTTTCTAAATAGCATAGCGACGCGAAAAGAAAGAGTTTAGAAATAAATTATACCTTATTTTAAACAGCATATTGTATTATTTACTTTAGTCATACATATCTTGGCGGTCATATGGGAAAAACTATTAAGGTATTAAAGGTAAATCCAATTGTGCACGCCCTAAGCGCATTAAAAAATTACGAATAACATGATTATACGTAATTTTTTAAAAGTAGTTTAAATACACACAAGTTTTCACTAATAACCTTCTTGTTATACTTCCAATTTTCCAATAGTTTTATGTCAAATTTCAATTAAAAGAAAAGTTTGGAAAATCCAAAAGTGTACGACTCATAATACTGATCTGATCATCATATCATAATTCAGGTCACTCCATAAAGTCCAAGACGTATTTAAGTATAAATATACTAAAATATTTACATGCTACTTACTTTTAGTACGTAGTACTATTATTTATTGTGTTTTTAAAATATAGTAATAAAAATCTCTGATTATTATAATAATTATGTATGAAATTTGGTTTTTCGAATATTTTGTATTTGTTCTGCGCTTTTTTTAAGCCGATGCAAACAACCAATACAGCATACACTCATGACGGCGGCTAACGCCGAAGTAGTGATAGACTGACCTATTTAGTAAAATAAATTATTACAAGGCTGCTAAAACACACACTATATTTTCAAAAGTTATCGTGTTTACCACTTCATACGAAATTGATAATTCTACACCCTAAGCCACTAAAATCACTTTTTTATGTAAAAATAGCAATTAATAGATTTAAAAAAATATTAATAAGTTCAACAATCATTTATCGTTCTAACAATTTGCTTTTTGTATCATTTCTATGTTCAGTATGATTGTTAGATTCGATTTTATGCGACAAAACGTTGGAATCTTGATTTTTAGGCGCTAGTAGAACATATCTACGCCTTTTGCGCATAAGGCATGCAATATTTGAGAAAACCAAGCTTTGACAAAACAAATTGATAAATGATAAAAATTGTTCATATTTCGTAGCAGATTGCGCGAAAAAAGTGATATCGCATAAGGCATGCAATATTTGAGAAAACCAAACTTTGACAAAACAAATTGATAAATGATAAAAATTGTTCATATTTCGTAGCAGATTGCGCGAAAAAAGTGATATCCTTTCCTTTACTTTCCTTTTTTAAATGTAACCTCCACACTAGGATTTTCTCCTGTATCGTGAGGGCAGTTTACACACATGAATTTCACAAGAACTAGGGACGGAGAATAGGCCATACAAATACTTGATCCGTGCGGGAGAGGCGACAGAGGGAAACTGAGGCAGAGGACGGGCAGCAGCATCTTTATGATAATAGCAATATCCCAATAAAAAAAACTGCGGTTGCCAACCCGCTCGCCAAGCGTGGCAACTATAGCAACATACCTCCCAATGAAAAAAGTTACAAAAAGACGGCCCCCAGACCCCAGCAGCCCCGCTATTCCTGGCTACGGAGGCGATCATGATAATGGCGGGGCACGGGGTGCTAAGAATCTCCGGTGGAGGTTCGGTTGCTACCTACGACGACTCGACCTGGCAACTTATAACACACGCACTCTGTGGACTGACGAGAAGATCCTGGAGCTGGAAGAAGAGATAGACAAGTTGCGCTGATGATGCTGATGATTACGGAGACGGTAATCCTCGAATCCGGCAACTTGTTCTATCACCGGGAATTATTTGGGAATTTATTGTCCACAAGTCTCTCTTTAACAACGTTGTAAAGATTGGGAGTATGTCGACGAGGGTTGCGTACCTTATACTCAGAATCACCAAACGGTATTCGCTGAAGGTCATACAGGTTTACGCACCAACCTCGGCACACCCCGATGAGGAGGTGGAATAAATGTATGAGGATATCTTTAGAGCCATGCATTTCTCCAAAACCCACTATACGGTGTTAATGGGAGACTTCAATGCAAAATTAGGCACAAGAGAGAACGGTGAGCTGAAATTAGGGAAACTTGGAATAGGGGAACGGAACCCAAGGGGACAGGAGCTGGCCGACTTCATGGAGAAAGAGGGATTCTTTATAATAAACTCTTTTTTCCAGAAGCGGCCCCACAGGAAGTGGACCTGGTCGAGCCCCGACGGTTCGACAAAAAATGAGATTGACTTCATTATGACGACCAGACCACAACTGTTCAGTTCAGTGATGTCTCAGTGATCACGAGGGTGAAAACTGGTAGCGATCATCGAATGGTTAGAGGCCACTGAACCTAAATGTTAAGTTGGAGAGGTCTCGTCCCGTTCCCCTCGTACTCTAGTCCAAAGATCCAAAACCTTTCAGCTCGAGTTAGAAAACCGTTTTCAGTGCCTGGAAGACTGCAATGAAGTGGACGATATAAATGATAAACTCGTGGAAACTGTCCATGCAGTCGGAGCTAAGTTCTGCAAGACCCGCTCCAGAAGAATACAAAAGCTCTCCGTTCACACTCTTAATCGCAAGGCTGTTAGACAGGAAATGAAGCTGCAGTCTCCAACAGATTTGACAGCATACAGGCAACTGACCAGACAGATCTCCAAATGCATGCGGCGGGACTTATCTAACTTCAATACAGCTTGTGTACACGCCCCTAGCTGCCCCAACCAAGGGTGACGGGATTAGGGCCCATGAGTAGTCCCATCGACGGGCAGCAGAGGGACGGGGCCAGAATATGGCCACGTGGAATTTCCTAATTACAGTAAACATTATGGGAGAAAGCTAGAAACACATAGTACTTACCATTCTCCGAAGCTAACTTCGCACCAAGGCTTGGGCAGGCCGTGAGTGTGTGTAATAGTGGATGGCGAGTAGTGTACAATGATGTGTGAGTGTGTGGGACCTTGGCAAGCATAGGCGAGCAGCAACGGCCGAGTTCCAGGCTGCTCCAAAATGTGGTAATCTCCCGCGGAGTCACCCACCGTCACTTTCTTCGTTCTTCACGATTAACTCTATCGTACTATTAACTAACTTACAGCAGCTACTAACTCTCGTTTGTTATAAAACTTAACACACAAAACTAACAGGGAGTGTACGGATCAAAGGTCACTACCGCTTCGCGTAGCAACAGTTATTTCTAGAATATCAAAGGCTGCTTTAGCTAATATTGTCGAATGCACTTATACAGATTCTGGGGTCAGACACAATGAGTCCCTGGGAAGCTCTCCAGCAAGGAATGCGCGTCACAAATCCTAGACAGTATATTTACTAGCCGCGCCTAATTATTCCGAGTTCCCGAACAAAAATTGACAGCGTGCTGACGTTAGCACAGCTGGCAGACGACTGCTGCGCTTGCACGTTCTACGCACGACCGAATGTCAAACCGGTATGGCACCGAGCCGCGCGCCCTCTGACGTCTATTCCGAAAACAGCGTTTGGCGCGAACAGCTTGTATTGAAGAAGTGATCGAGCGGAACCAAGGCTCCAAAGTCTTTGCCAGAGATCTGTCTGCCAGAAGGAGCCAACTGTCAAAGCTGAAGACCAAGTGTGGCAGCATCGTTTCCGGTACACCTGAGATTTTGAGTGAGATTGAGAGGTTCTATGGGCAGCTGTACACGTCATCGTTGGAGCCACACGCAAGTGTGAGTAACGATCCAAGAGCGAGTCTTATCCGACACTATTCCGAAGATATCCCGGA